TTATTATTATTATTATTATTATTATTATTATTATTTTTTCATCAAGAAACTTTTAATCCTCTTAAATACTAACATTTATATTGGTGTGTATGTGCTATAAGTAATTGCAATAAATAAATAACAATAAGAACTAATTGAAGCAGTGTCTGAAAGGGAAGCACCCTGAGCCCGATCCGCTCTTCAAACATATAAGCTACACATGAAAACAAGTAAAGATTACTTTAGTCAGGACTACACGATTCACTCTACGATTCCTAGATATATAAATATTAAATATTAACATGTAAGAAATTCGGAATATTCAACCTATTCAGGTCTAAGAGAACAAAGTTCAACAAAAGAAAATCGACTGGACTATACTTTCTATTCAAGCTTGGCTGTTATAAATATTTTAATGAGAGCCTTATGCACTGAGTGGTTTAATAGATATTAGCAACTATAAAAACGAAATTTTTCCTTAAATTTTCTGTTTTTAAACTAATTATCCGCTCCATACTACGAATCTTGAGAAAGATTGTTCTCTACTATTTATGACTACTTATCATATCAATATATACAAAATAAAATATCAACTTTATTATTATCAAAGTGCAGCACTCTCAGCTGGGTCGCACCACAAAGAACGGTTGCTCCCTGCTTGGACAGAAGAACCTTTCAAAGGGCTGGGTCAGTATGTTGGCACGTGGTTTCTGCTCATCCGGCAGGAACATGCCCTTCCACAGCAAACTTGCTGCGCTCGCGTGTGCACGCTGGCTAAAGTGGAAACAGTCATGGGAGAAGTCGCGCCAATCCGTATTACCATTTGGAAGCTTGGGCACGGACAGATTTGTTACCATGGGATGGCCAATGATAGCAAAGTCTTCGCGCTGAAACTCCGGCAATCGTGCCACCTGCAGATCAACCTGTTGCCAACGCTGAATCATGTAGTGTCGCTGCTTCGCCTCGGATGCGGTCAGACGATCGCTTAGCAGGCAATTGCAGGCAATACGGTGCACCAGAAAACAGTCGAAGGGTACATCCTTTATCGGACCCATCGTGGCTAAAATATCGGGCACCGCCACCAAATTGATCAGAAGGCGAGGCACATTATCGCGTAGCAGTCGAAAAGCTTCACGAAGATCTCGAGCGTGTCGTTCGATCACTTTCTCCTGATCATCCCAGTGACACATGTCGGAGCAGATATCATTATTGCCCACAAAAACAGTCAGCAGTTTCCAATGCCGTTTCAAATCCACGTGTGGATCGCGTCGCATCAGATCGATGAGCACACGTGCCTGATACATTAGATCATGTGACATGATCATGGGCTCTGCAATGTTGAGGTGTGAAATTTCATGATTTACGACCAGACTGTGACCCGTGGCATAGCCATAAAGATTCGGATTGAAGACCTTTAGTATGTTGGGCAGAGTTAGGACTGTGCGCCAGGTGCCCAAACCTCCGCCGGAAAAGGAAAGTCCGCGAAACTCATTGATTAGATCTAACGCATTGCTGGATACAATGCCATTGCCAGCGGATAAGGAATCTCCAATGGAAGCCACGATGTCTATATCGCCAGGTCGCAGACGTTCCACAGAGGTGGGCGGAGTGCGGGATCTGGTATTGTTGAGGGAGCAAGGAAATGGAACGCGACTTGGAATCGGAGCTTGCATCTTGCCCTCACGTCTGCTGATCCCGTAGAGTTCGGTTATTTTATTCAGCCCTGCGTTTAACATGCTTCCACGAAGCATGAGAAACCATTGGCGAAAATTCCGGTCGATATCCGTGTACTGTGGTACACCATTTGTGACCGGTTGCAGTGGATTGAACTGCTTGGAATGCACTCCAATGCTGTCCAGCAGCTGATGGGAGCGATTCTGCAGGCGACGCCGCAGTGTATAAGGGCTACAGTACGAAGCGATGCAAAGTACCATAAGGAGAACAATTACAATAGTTCGAGTATTTGTCATTTTGTGTGATGTGATGCAATCTGGAAGCATTAATTATCTTTAGCACGTTCTCTTGTGTGGACTTTATGTTATTTACGCAGAGACAGTAAAATATTCGTTTTTTTTTTCACAACACAAAAGTGGCAGTATATTAGCCCACATTAGCGCGTGTGGATTTTATGTGGATGGCATGTGGAACATAAACTCTCGGATTATGCTACTTATTGAGCACATCTGTCACATTTATACCGTATTTGTATCACGCTCAAGCGTATTTTTTGCATGTGGATGCTATGTGGATTTAGTTGCTTATTAGATAACGGTAGTTTTAGATAAATATCAAATCACTTTTGTTATATAAGTCACAGATTCATGGTAAACGCAACGCTTGTGAACTGTAAGTGGATCGATTTCTCTGTCACTTCCCCATAAACTGATCGATACATTTAAGGTCCTTTTTCGATTGGAGACGCTCAACTCAGACACGCACGCACAACGACATCTCGACACGTTCTCACACGGAACGCAAGTGCGTCAAGCGCTTAAATGTTGCTATAAATGGAATCTCGTACAATATAAACACTGATGTTTTAGCTCTCTGTTTGAGCGCTCATTGAGCACTTGAGCACTCAATTCCTTCCATTAAAAACAGCAACAACAACCCGGCATAGTTTAGAGCTGCCACTACAGAACTTGACTCGAATGCGTTGACCGAGACATTAGCTACTATTAAAATGACAACAACAATAGCGACAACAACAATAGCAAATGGGACAGACATTTGTCTGTTGCCACTCGGCCTGGGCTCGACTCAAGTGCGTTGGGTTCAAAGATATTGTCGAAAATCGTATTAAAATCAAAACCAAAATAAAAAAAAAGAGATAAACATAATAAAATAGTTACCTTGGCAAGTATGTTGATGCTACTACAACATGGCAAACAACAATTAATGTTTCATATAATATAAAAAATGTTTTTTAATTTTATATGTGTACAATTGAATAAACATGTTGATAAATTGGAGCCCGCATTGCGAATATTATGTCAGTTGCTTAGAATATAATGAGTTACATGGTTTATACTCACATTACTCTGAATGATACAAAGTTTGCGAAAAGCACCTTAACTGGTTATTCGCATGCAAAGCAAGTTATCTATAACTAAAGATATAACTATATAGCTGCATTCATATATATATTAATATACAATATATATATAGTATTTTAGTTCAGTTCAAAAAATTAAGAGTTTCGACTGGGAGTAAGCAAAAAAAAAAAAAACTATTACTTTTAATCTTGCATCTATCAGATCAAACAAAACTATTAAACAAAAATTTTTAAGATTTAAGGAAAAAAAAATAAATAAAAGATAAATAAA